TCCCACTATGAGATCACACAGAATCCCACTATGAGGTCACACAGAATCCCACCATAAGGTCACATATAATCCCTCCACAATGTCACACAGAATCCCACAATAAGGTCGCACAGAATGCCGCCATGAGGTCACACATAATCCCATTGCAAAGTCACACAGAACCCCTCCACAAAGGTCACATAGAAGCCCTCCACAAGGTCACACAGAATCCCTCCACAAGGTCACACAGAATCCCAATATGAGTCACACAGAATCCCACCACAAAGTCACATAGAATCCCTCCACAAGGTCACACAGAATCCCTCCACAAGGTCACACAGAATCCCACCATGAGGTCACACAGAATCCCACCATGAGGTCACACAGAATCCCACCATGAGATCACACAGAATCCCGCCATAAGGTCACACAGAATCCCACCACAAGGTCGCACAGAATCCCACCATGAGGTCTCACAGAATCCTCCACAAGGTCACACAGAATCCCACTATGAGGTCACACAGAACCCCCCACAAGGTCACATAGAATCCCTCCACAAGGTCACATAGAATCCCTCCACAAGGTCACATAGAATCCCTCCACAAGGTCACACAGAATCCCACTATAAGGTCACACAGAATCCCAATATGAGGTCACACAGAATCTCACTATGAGGTCACACAGAATCCCACCATAAGGTCACACAGAATCCCACTATGAGGTCACACAGAATCCCACTATGAGGTCATACAGAATCCCACAAGGTCACACAGAATCCCACCATAAGATCACACAGAATCCCACTATGAGGTCACACAAAATCCCACTATGAGGTCACACAAAATCCCACTATGAGATCACACAGAATCCCACTATGAGGTCACACAGAATCCCACTATGAGGTCACACAGAATCCCACAAGGTCACACAGAATCCCACCATAAAGTCACACAGAATCCCACTATGAGGTCACACAAAATCCCACTATGAGGTCACACAGAACCCCCCCCCCCACAAGATCACATAGAATACCTCCACAAGGTCACATAGAATCCCTCCACAAGGTCACACAGAATCCCACCATAAGTCACACAGAATCCCACCATGAGGTCGGACAGAATCCCACCATGAGGTCACACAGAATCCCACCACAAGGTCGCACAGAATCCCACCATAAGGTCGCACAGAATCCCACCATAAGGTCGCACAGAATCACATCACAGAAAGTTACTCAGAATGCTACCACAAAAGAGACAACCAAGTTGAATAATGCAAAAGCTAAGCAGCATAACAATAATCATTGAGAACGAACATGAACTTTGAAAAGTCCAACATCTAATATTTGCAATAAACTAAGAAAAGGTTCAGAGATACTTAGAAGTCAAAGGAGAGAAAGAGAATGATGAAGTCTGTTATCTATATCACTTATCCACACTCAGCTGGAGTACAAGTGATAATAAAATAAATGTGATTAATTTACCGATATTTACTATATGGTGGCCGCCATCTCGAATACGGCTTGAATCTATAAGAAAGAGACAAGTTGAGAAATGTCTTTTTCAGATTCCTACAATTCATGGAAAAAATACCAAACTTTCACAGCCAAACATCCAGAGTCAATGTGAAGCCACTTAAGATTGTTACTGATTGGCAACCCAACCCTATTATGAATCACCATGACCAATCATGCCTTTTATATATACCGTACTTGACCGCGTGAGCGCCCATACCCAGTCAAGCACCCACCCCCCACTTCTGCACAATTGTTATATTTGGGGTCACATTCAGGGCCCACCACTTCAAAATGCCACTAATTTAAAATTTGGTCTTTGATCATTACTGGTAATCATTTTTTTATGATACAGCGTGGATATGGATCGCCGTGAATGCGAATACGTAGACCACGGTAACCGTGCATAAACTATGCTTCGACAATGACCTGTTAATGAAAGTAAAATGCGGTAAATATTTCATGCCATAATCAGTTTACTGGTAATCATTTTTTTATGATACAGCGTGGATATCGACCGCCGTGAATGTGAATACGTAGACCACGGTAACCGTGCGTAAACTATGCTTCGACAATGACCTGTTAATGAAAGTAAAATGCGGTAAATATTTCATGCCATAATCAGTTTACTGGTAATCATTTTTTTATGATACAGCGTGGATATCGACCGCCGTGAATGTGAATACGTAGACCACGGTAACCGTGCGTAAACTATGCTTCGACAATGACCTGTTAATGAAAGTAAAATGCGGTAAATATTTCATGCCATAATCAGTTTACTGGTAATCATTTTTTTATGATACAGCGTGGATATCGACCGCCGTGAATGTGAATACGTAGACCACGGTAACCGTGCGTAAACTATGCTTCGACAATGACCTGTTAATGAAAGTAAAATGCGGTAAATATTTCATGCCATAATCAGTTTACTCATCAAAAATTGTTAGTTACCATTTTTTTCGAAAAAAAAACACGTCATTTATTCGCCGAAGTCAATTCCAACAGATCAAACTCCGACATCGATAATTCATTTCAGTATTGCGTTACCAGAAAGTCTTCGGGAATTCCCGTAGAATTGCGTCGGTACAACACATTCGTCAGTGGAGATAATGATGGAAGATTATGACTACGAGTGTGTTCCAACATAAATTTGTGTTTGTGTTTTCCAAATAAATTTTCCAACATAAATCTCGTAAATTTGTGTGGTATGTAATTAGTATCGTAATAAAATGTGCATATTTTGGTGACCATTTCTGTTTTTTCATTGTAAAAGACAATAACGATGCAACTAATTTTGTAATTTCATATTTCCTCAAATATGGCAAATCAAAATTGTCATTTGCACTCTTTTCCAAGGGGGGGAGCTCGAAAAATCATGATTTTCTGAGTTGAGGACCCTGGGCGCTAACGCAGTATGGTATATATGTATGCTTCGACCCAACTAAACAACCGTTGAGGTAACATTAATCTAACACTAACAAAATTTAACTACATTCAGCGTTTTTGCATGGAAAAATCCCTTGCATACAAATACCTCATACATTAGGAACCTAGAGCTGTCTACTGTGGTATATAAAACTGAAATCCGCATCCAACTGTAAGAAGCCAATCAGAGACAGCCTGCAAAATCAGTCCTGTCACAGAATATGTGAAGAACTACCTGACTGGATTATTAATCTATTCAAAGTCAACTATGATAACTGTTATATAGTCCAACGATATTTGTTCTCAGCAAAGCAACCATTTATGAACATATTACTGTTACCTGTTGTCTTTTTCAGAGAAAAAATGGTTTATTTACTTATTTTATACATTTTACATGCTTGAAAAAACCAAATGCTTTGATAGATTTTTCATTCCAAAAGTGAAGCTGAAAATAATGATTAATATTGAATTCAGAAGGACACCACAAATTGATAGAATATTGTCAGCATAGTATACACTATGCTTGTTCATAACTATAATATTTGGCTCATTAGCATGCAACATTTTTCTGTGTGGCCCTGGACATTGTATGTGTATTGTCCATCACCCTGTTAATTTAATATTACATACAAACATAAAAGGTAGGGAAATGTACATACCTATAGTTTGGGATCTGGTTAAAAACATTGTACTTGTTGTGGGATGTAAGGAGGGATCCTGATCATCATCTGCAAGAAATAATTTTAAAATAACATAAAAATATTTTTTCCTGTGGATACAGAACTTCTATATCATCGTTAGTAGCCACTTACAATGTAGTTGCTCCCATGATGCACCTTTTTATTGTATTAAAAGTGTAAATAACAATTGTAAAGAGCAAAGTGCTGGAACTGATCAATGATATGCAAATTAAATTAATTAGTATGCATGGATTTGCACAAAAATCAACTTAGGGTATCTTATGCCAGATATTTAAATATCATTGGCATATTATGTGCTTTTAGCCTGGAAACCTGACAGCTGTTGGTGGTTACCTACTTCAACTTGTATCTAGAAGTACTGCTTAAATTTCTCCTTCTCAATCAGTGCACAATTGTTGATTGGCTGATAAATATAGCACACTGCTAATCTGAATATTCTAATTTTTGATCAATGGCTGACCGTGACTTGATTGGCTGATAAATACAGCACACTGCTAATCTGAATATGCTAATTTTTGATCAATGGCTGACCATGACTTGATTGGCTGATAAATATAGCACACTGCTAATCTGAATATGCTAATTTTTGATCAATGGCTGACCATGACTTGATTGGTTGATAAATATAGCACACTGCTAATCTGAATATGCTAATTTTTGATCAATGGCTGACCATGACTTGATTGGCTGATAAATATAGCACACTGCTAATCTGAATATGCTAATTTTTGATCAATGGCTGACCATGACTTGATTGGCTGATAAATATAGCACACTGCTAATCTGAATATGCTAATTTTTGATCAATGGCTGACCATGACTTGATTGGTTGATAAATATAGCACACTGCTAATCTGAATATGCTAATTTTTGATCAATGGCTGACCATGACTTGATTGGCTGATAAATATAGCACACTGCTAATCTGAATATGCTAATTTTTGATCAATGGCTGACCATGACTTGATTGGCTGATAAATATAGCACACTGCTAATCTGAATATGCTAATTTTTGATCAGTGGCTGACCATGACATGATTGGCTGATAAATATAGCACACTGCTAATCTGAATATGCTAATTTTTTATCAATGGCTGACCATGACTTGATTGGCTGATAAATATAGCACACAGCTAATCTGAATATAGCCAGCCATTCGAGGCAGTCCACCCACATGTATTTACCTGTCAACCACAACCACAGATACAAAGTATCATCTGACAGGCACAATTTCTACAAAATTTGTGCAATTTTGCAAGTCTAAATCAAATGTAAGTTTGTAGTCACAAACTAGGAACTTGTAATTTTTATTTTTATAGATTTTAAACAGGTACTTTTTATTTCCTGGCTAC